GACTTCACTTTTTCAATAATCGATTTACACTCTGTTCATATGCTATTTTGCTATTTAGTGAAAATGTATGAATATAAATTTCTACAATATATTATATAACCTGTTATAAATACTAATAAATACAATTGAAAATGTTCAAACTTAACTTATTTAAAACTTTTCAAATCAGAAATAAAATAATAAAATATTATAATAAAGTATTGAATAAAAACTGTCACGGAAATTTCAAGAAATTTTTTGACTTATTGTCAAGAAATCTTGGTCTTGATAACAATTTCTTGTCTTGTCTTGAAATCAATTTCCAATTTCTTGTTTTGATCTTATCTTGTTTCAAGACAAAATCAAGACAAGATTTCTTTAATTTCTTGATGAAACATTAATTAACGCCATATTTCACAAACTACAAAAAAAAAAAACGATTTTGCTATTAAAAAATTTAACTAGATTTAAAAATAATTTTGCTGGACCATGAAAATAATTATTAAAACTCTTAACTGTTGATGACAATGTTAGAAAAAGTTTTAACATTTTAAGAACGATTGAAGCGTTCTGCTATTTTAGTCCAAATAAAATTATTATCAAATATAACACCAAAATGTGATGTGGATTTAAGACCCTTGATGTTAAATCCACACATTACAAAATTGTTCGGAACAAATTCTGATTGGAGATCAATTGTTCAATTATTCTTTGGAATTCCATTGTGTTCTCTAAGAAAAATTTCGATCGGAATTCATTCCACTTCAATTGTAATTCCTAAGGAATAATTCCAATCGAAATCTATTCCGAACAGTTCTATAATACGTGCCCTGAATATATTCTAGCTATGTAACTTTTGTATCAGACCTCTTCCTATCGCGACCGATTGCAAGAACAGACGTCCGTGAAAATAGCAGCGCTTTATCTATGCAGGACCAACACAACAGGCAATCTTATCTTAATGGGAAACTAATCGAGTGACGTATTGTGTATTGCATGAATAACTATTTAGAACACGAACAAGCGAGGTCAGACTATAAAACGAACAACAAAATCCGATTTCAGAATAATGATCGAGACCTGTTTCCACTAATATTAGATGAACTTTAATCTCAATTCAACTGGTTTATCTTTTTCTAATTCCGAGAAAAAGATAAAATGTAGATTAAATTGAGATTAAAGTTAGTCTATATCGATGGAAATCATTAGATATCTAAAATAATCTAGTTCTTTTCAGAGAAAAAACATCGATATGGAAAGATCGTTGATGCTGAGATTTAAGATACGGATTTAAGAAATATTTATTATTCTCTATTGCAATGTTTATTCTCCATCATAATTCATTCTAAATCTTCGGATCTTTAAAATATATATATTATGTGGAATGTTTAAATTTTTATGCCTGTTTTTACCAATGTAGATTGACTTCAACTTTCTCGATTTAATGTATTTTTCATTTTTTCCAATTTTTATTATAAAAAAAAATTAAGAACATTGAATTGAAATTAAAGTTAATCTACATTAGTGAAAATAAGTATTCAAAATAAAGCGACATTCTTCGGCAAATAAGAATTTAAATAATAATAAAAGAATTTAATAAATAAAATGAAAATGACTAAATAAAAATAAATAAAGTAAAAGTAATTAAATATCGGGACTCCGATTGCGATTCATATTTCATAATTTTCCTAATTTTTTCAAAATATTTCATTCTTAAAATCGTCAAAAATTGTTTCTGTTTCACATTACAATTAGATAATTGACAATTTTGCAAAAATTAAATAAACCTAACAGGTTTATTTTTTTCTTTCATCACTTTCTCATAATGAGAAAGTTATACTAATAATAATAAGTTAATAATAATAAGTTATACTAATCCAGTCCATCAATGCGATATAACATTTTCATGCTAAATCATTGATGTTTATAATAAAAAATAACGGATAATATCTTTTGTAGTAAGCAAGATAATAATAACATCGAGAATAATAATTGACAACGTGTCAACATGCGGGTGAACAAAGATGGCCTTTGAAAATAAGACACCTGTTAAAATCAATCATATCGCAAGACAAATATAAGCTCCAAAAATGCACTAAATTTTTTTACATGCAATGTCATTAAATTAAGTCAGTATATTAATAAATTACTGATTAATAAAAAAACTCGATTTTCTCTTTCTCTCTCTCTTTCATTCTTACCTTCTATCTTCCTCTTTTAGCAACAAAACACAAGAGACAGACAAATGGACGGCACAAGATTAGTGCTCCAAATTACTCAATCTTTCTCCTTAATTCGTCCTGTAATTATCACCGCTACGCGTAAAGGAGGCGAAAGAAGAAAAACAGCGTTGACGAGATCTAATTAATCCAAGCTGTCGAGGGAAGGAGAGGAGAAGGAGTGACTATTAAATGATTAAATTGGTAGGTTAGGTCGGTTCGCGACGTATCGACCGGTCGCGCCGTATTGACGACAAAATTTGGCGGCTGCCAAAATGGTCGGCGTCGTGTGTACTGTGTCTTCCGTCGTCTTTCTCTCACCTGTGGGAAGGCAAAAAATAAAGAGAGAGAGAGAGAGAGAGAGAGAGAGAGAGAGAAAAAGACTGCGGTGTGCGGCGTCTCATCGTTTCTATCACGTCTCACTTACCACTTCGCTGCATCGTCGTTCCGCCGGGGCGTCACAGCGGCTCATCGAGCATAATCCTCCGTGCGTGGGTGACGCGGGTAAACGGCCACCAGCGCGCTTCCTCGCATGCCACACTCGCAAGAGGCGACGAGACGCGACGAGACGCGGCCACTGAGATGATCGGAGTGGACGCGAGAACGTCGACAATCCGTAACGCGATACGACCGCACTTTTCAAATATTTCGCGTAGCCAGCCTCTCTCGCACGATTCGAGTGCTGCCGACGCGTGCGCACCAACGATAACTCGACGCGACGACACCGGTTGGCCGCGAGGAAAGATGGCCGACTCTCGCGCCCGTTCTCAATCCTCACCTAATGCCACCTGTCGCTGCCTCTCGGAAGTAACCGAGTGCCGACGGTGCCGATCATGTGACGCTTCCTGGGGTGAACGGCGTTGACGATGGTCGACAGTTCTTTGAGATCGTTACCACTTGGAAACGCGATTATCTTAAGTGAATATTTAATCTTTAAAGCCTGATTTTTTTATTTTTTTCTTAATTTTTGGTTTAAACTTAATCTCATTTAATTTGATAGTAATTAAAAAGTTGTTTTTTTAGTAATAATTAATCACTAAACTGCTTTTATGTAGTTTGTATGGTAACTTTAAAGTTCACTCATTACAAAATCATTCGTTTAATGATTGAGTACTAGTTACTAGAAAAATACAATTTATATGTTATTAGGTTAAGTTTAATCCAGAGTTGTGTTATATTTATTATGTTTACATAGAATATTTACATTAAGTTTACAATGAATCTTTTGCATGTAAATTTAATACAAACTGAATAATACCATTCAGAAAGAAGTAATTAAGTTTTAAAATAGTAATACACTTGACAAAAATTAATACTAATAAATAAAAATATAAGAACAAGAAAAACTTCAATCTAATCCAACAAAGAATATAGGCTTCAATGATTCTTAAATTGTTTACAAAGATGACATATAAAACATAGTTTATGTACTCGCAGTTTTTAAATTATAACCAAAAAATGAAAAACCGAGTCTTAGTGGATAGGTAAAGTGATCACAATATTCCAAGTTTTTTTTTAAAACCTTATTCTGGAAAAAAAAAACAAAAAATATACTCCCAGAAGTTTTAAAGTTTATTCCTTTTATCTTCCTCTATCTTATAATTAAACTATAACACATGATATGCTAATAATAAATAACTAATAATAAATAACTATAAAATAATAAATAACTAATAATAAATAACTATAAAATTGAAGTTTCTTGGGAGTGTTTTAAATATCTCACTCATCAACTTGCATATCTTTAAATCACTTTTGCCTAATTAAAAAGATTAAAGAGATGTTGATAAGTTATGCTTGATCATTAATTAGTTATGCTTGATTGACATGGATACATAATCTCATTACAGGGAATGGGTAGAGCATGTTGCATCTTGGGATGTCCCTCGGGAGGAGATGCTCCATCTCATCAGATCCCCAAGAATCCAGCTCTCTTCCAGAAATGGAAAAGCTTGATTTACTCCGAGAAAATCCAACATATGACTGATGAGCAAATAAGCAAGTGTGCTGTGTGCTATCGGCATTTTGCTGACAATGACTATCTAGTAACTTTTCGAGTAAGAAAGTTGAAACGTGGCGTTGCACCTTCCTTAAACTTGCCAAACAGACCAGATTCTAGTGTACCTATTATGATTAAAATAGAACCGCAAACATCGGCTGCGAGAAGAGAAACGTTTATTGCAAAAGAAGAGGTGACAGAAATTCCAAGAATAATAGAAGAATTAGAAACAACTCAAATTACATTATTCGAAGATATTCCGGAAGAAATTAAATCCTGCTCATTCGACCAGCCACAAATTTTATTAGATAAGAATATTGAGCAAATTAATTCAACGGCAGAAACATTTAAGTTAAATCATAGAGAAAGAACGTCGAGAAAGAAACGAAAATTAACTGCAAAACAATTGCATCTACTTCAATGTAAACAACAAGCCAAGCAATATGAAAAAACACCTTCGATACAAAAGCTGCTATCTTTTCTCACGCCTGCTGAAATAACAACTATTAAAACTAGAATACGAAAAGCAAGATATGCCCCAAGAATATATGTAAGAATATATCACAATATTGCACAAAGGAAAGCTTTTAGTCACTTAAAACTCGTAGAAGATTAGTAATTTATTGCAAGTTTTAAAATCAAGAATAGAAAATCAGGATGTGAAATTCTGCTTTGGAATGTCATGAAAAGCAAATCTTAGCAAATAAGAATTTATCGCATTTATATTGGCAAAAAAGAATTAATTTCATAATAATGAAGAGAATAATATTGTAAGTGTATATATTTTTATATTCAATATAATTATCCCTGATACAGAGAAATAATTAACTAACATAATTCATGTATTATTTTTTAATAAGAAAAATTCTAATACTAAATATTAGGTGTAGTAAAAAAAAATCCATTATTTTTGCATGAAATTGAATGGAAAAATAATGGATTTCTTTTTACTACACCTAATATATATTATCCCTTAATACACATTTGGGTTATTCGTATCCTGTCCATTTCTTTTCTTTGATTTATATAATACAACATTATATACAACAATGTATATAATAATTTATTGTATTGTATATAATAATTTATATATAATTTATCATAAATATATTACTTTCTAAAGATGTCAAAATATACATAAAAATTGCTTAATAATTTTTATATATTTGTATGTAAAAGTGATGAAAATTAATCCAGGATACGAAAGACCTATCATGTGTAGTTAAGGTATGTACTAAGGGTTATATACTGCAATATATATTTTTCTTACATGCATATTTAATTTTTATATTTTTTAGATGACACAATAAAATATTCAATATTTTAACTATACTCTTATACTCGTAAATTATAGTAAAACTGTAATTAATGAGTTCGGGAATTATATACAGATGGAAAAGATTCAAACGGACATGTTGGGTGCAAAGTTTCAACACTATGTCGATACAACGGTAGTTTTACTGTATTTTTAAAAACGAATACATGAAATATACATTTATAATTATATGTATGTATAATTAGTAGAAGGATTGTATTATTCTCTGAATATAGACCTCTGAATTCTATCTTATCACTAACGGTGTCGCAAAGAGTATCGTAGAACGTATTCTTTCTGAACACATAATCTTGATGGGGATTATTCGGTTGAGCACTTTACTCGCCGGTGACGAATACTTTTATTACGCGAGAGAATCTCTATACTGTAATTAATAAAGATTTGCCGTTTAGGAAACGCGATAAATATTGATCTGTGCGTAACCGATTTCGGGGAGAGAAGTGAGAGTGGGAAACAGGAATAAATTCGATCGAATTAGTACAAATAAGTAGTATACAACAAAAGGTAGCCTCTTTAGGATCGGTTCATCTATGCAAAGTGTTCCCGAGCGTAACATACATCCATGTTTGACGAATTACGTTGAAAAATATTTTCATTTAACATTTAATCTCTATACATCTTATCGATTTATTTTAGAGGTGCTGGATGTTTATATGCACGATATATTACGTGCAATAATTAATATAAGGTACGGTGTTTTACTCTTTTTTTTTTCCTCTATGCTCACTAATTACGAAATTGCAATATAGAACGTGCTCGATTCTACGACCGATCTAAAGAGTTCGTATTCGACTTTCGATTAAGAAATACTTTTCCTTTAATCGCATAATTATTATCTACAGTTCTGGAATGTCTCAATTTAAAATTTTCTTCGCATCATTGATTTTTTTCCGTTGAATTTGATAGTTTAAAATTTAAGAGACATGCTAATAATAGATAAAATATATTATTTTTGAGAGGCGACAGTCGAGGAAGGAAATTTCTTATATTTTCAAATATTTGAAAATCGTCATTTTATAATAATTTGCCAGTTAATTTAAGGTTTCGGTTAAAATTGGAAATTTCAAAATCTGAAATATATTTTTTTCATCATCGATTCAATATAGTAAATATTTTGTTTTAGAAATGGTCCACTCAAGTTCTTAAAATTTTGTGTTAAATTTTTAACATATTCGGGTATTTATTTAATATAATCTGTAGACACATGATTATGTTATTTAAACACTTTTTAACACTTTTAAACACTTTTAAACACTTTTATTAAATCGATATCCAACATTTTTAATATTAAAATAACATTTTAATAAATAACATAAAAATAATGTATTTTAAAACATAAATTCTAAGAATAAATAAAATATGTAAGGATATGTTAATTTTTAACAAACAAAATATGTTAAGATTTGTTATTTTTTAACATATCCTAAATATTATTTTACTGAAAAATAGTTTCTATGATTTGTTTACAAATTGTTTACAAATTGAGTCAGTATTCCTTTTTTTTGTGCTTATTTTTTAAAATGATATACCTTTTAACATATTCATCTTATGTTAAGTTAACATAAAAATTTGAGTGGACTATTTGAGACGTGAAGTATTAAATTTATCACACGTGAAATATTAAATTTATCACAAATTTTCCAACAGTGAATCAACATGCTGAAGTTACATAATCACCGGCTCGCGTAGCGTCTTATAATTAAGTAACTAATAATTAAATACATAATAGACAGACGAGAGACTTTTTGGTTAACAAGTACAAAAAGATTAATCAAGAGAACATATTATGCCTGTTCTTTTTAGCCGAACTTTTTGCATTAGTCATCTTCCTCGTTTTTCCCGGTAGAAAGAAAAAAGAGGAAAAATGAATGGTACAAGTTCAGCTGAAAAGAACAAACCTTTAATCAACTCTGATAGACGAGCAGGCTATCTACCGCGGCAAAAGCGAGGTCATTCTCTGAAATCTATAAATGAGAATCATATCTTCTGTACGAAATTTGTGAGAGAGACATCCGAAGAAGAAGTGCAAAAACGAATGGAGCATCCGTAAATGTACTATAACGGCGCGTTTATTCCGTGTTTAGGTCATACATTTTAGGCCTTGCGAAATGCGAGGATTGATTTTCATTTCCCTAAAATAGCACTTTGAATTACGAATTGCTTCTAAATATTCATCTGGACTGACTTGGCCGTTTATACAAACGATTCGATAAATAAACGCGCCTTTGCATGGGAGCAGTTTATGCGTATAGTGATGCTCGTGATCGATAGAATCGATAGGTACGCGGCTGCTCCTCTCGAAACGTGTGCGTTTGGACGAGCTACGAGTGCCGATCAACATCGGAGTATTTACTAATTTGATTGTATATCGCTAGCGTGATGTTGACCGACTCCAGGCATTCCCGGCAATGTGGAGCAAGACGAGTGGAACAGTCGAATCGAGAAATAAAAAGCAGAATAGAATTAATATCGAAATGATTTATTAAAATTTAGAAACAAAAATATGATCTACAAGCTATCCTAATCGCGCAGATTAGAAAAGGAATGTTCCTACATCGATTCTTTTCTTCAAATAAATTTTATAAATTATGCGACGTAAAAGTAATGACTGCTTCAAGTAGAAAAAGTAGCAACAATTATAAAGTTCTTGTACATTAATAGTTTGATACAAATATGTAAAAATATATTTAAACATAAATAATAATAAATAATATAGTGTAAAATATTATAATAATAAAAAAGTAGAAAAAAAAGAGGAATACTCTATATTGATTTTCTATTTTCTTCAAATAAATTTTCTAAATGTACGAATTCGATTTAAATTATGCGATATAAATTTTTAATTTAAATTATGATACGTAAATTGGCTGCGTTGTTGGAAAAAGTAACTTTGCAACTATAGAATATATAGTATATATAGTATTTGATATAAATATACCATAAATATATAATATATTTGAGTCATTATGAATAAATATAATATAAAATAAATACAAAGTATTATAATAATAAAAAAAATATGGTCGTCATTCACGATCGATCATTTCTCCGATCGTCGCGTTCCGTTGAGACGCGAATAAAAGAGTTCCTCGTCCAAACGCGATTCTATCTAATAAAACGAAATGCGTGTCATGCATATATCTACCTTGATAATTCTTGATACGTGTAAATGATTGTCTGTGATTGTCCGCGATTGTACACGTAGAATAATCACATTTCAACATCTCTTCTCCATTTTGTATGTCTATTTCAAGTACGCGAAAGAACGGGATTAGGAGAGAAGATGGAAAGGAGAAAAAGGGAGGCCTCGATATCTCCTGACAACGCCTTACATTACTTTCTCCAAGTGTTTGCGTGTCGGGGTGTGCTTAACGTTAAGGACACTTAACTTTGTATAATCTTACGTCATTAGTTAGAATAATAATCACACATGAACAAATGCTTTTTTTTTTCATTTTTTTTCTCCTTTTTTTAAATTTTGGAATTGCAAAAAAACGGGAAACAGGGCATGTATCATGGAACTATTCAGAATGGATTTTCGGATCGGAATTGTACCGTTTTTTTTCTTAGAAAATACTTTAATAATACAATTTATTGGCCCAATATTGGCTCCAACGTTTAATCAATGTATTATTAATAAATTATTATTAGGGCACAAGAAATCTAGAGAATAATTGAAAAATTCCGATCAAAATTCATTCCCAATTTCATAAAACCTGTATCACACTACGCATTGGAGATTGAGAATTGCAAATTGAAGATTAAAATTCAGCCAATTAAAACGAAATGTATTGAAATTAAAAATATCGTTTGACTGATTGAATTCTAATCTCTTATTCGCAAGAATTTTTAAGCGATTCCTAAACTTAATATTATTGTACAATTATTTTGTACAATATTATACGATGCCTTTAAACAATTTAAAAAAAAGTCTAGAATCTTCAATATAGGACGAGGCTCTCATCAGTTTCAACTTTAAAATAATATGAAAAAATTTACGACGGTAAATCGATATCTCTTTGCAGTGACATGTTTACATTATATGTACAATCATGATTGCTGCTTGAGAGCGCAAGCACAACCTTTAGATACTCAATATTCATATGTTCCAAAACATAAATATTATCGCGAGAAGAGGACGAAAAACTCTCTAGATGATTAGTAATCTTCAGTCTACAATATAGTGTGACACGGTTTTAATACGTGCCCAGGATCGACGTGAATTCGGCGCGAATCCGATTTCTCGATCCGCGATCCCGCAATTGCGAAGACGGGTGGAGGATCGGCGAATGTCGCTGT